GAAGCACAAGAAGGGCTTGGCGGCTGGGGAGTTTAGAAAGGCTGCCATTTCCTTGCAAAGGAGCTCCAAGAATCAAAGCGAGCTAGACGGTATGGTTTTGTAAGACTGTTCTTCTTCGTCTTTCTGACTATGTTTTCTATTTTTTTCTCGTGAAGAATCCTGCCAGCTTCCGGTGGATGTTCTTGTTCACGTTTTCAGCTTCCTGGATCCCATATCACTGGCTACTGCTGGCTGCGTATGCAGGTTTTGATTTTAATCTCGATTTCTTCTCCAACAAATGTGACAGGTTTCATCTTGTTTTGTGAAGGTCTTGGAATTCAGAGTACAAAGACGCAAACCTCTGGCAGAAGCTTTTCACGGTTGTTCTTGAGAACACGAGTTTTGATCCTACTAGAGTTTTGCAGCTCGCTGGTTTTGAGCTGGGTGATGATGATTCCAGTACTCCTCTGAGAGTCAAGGATGTTTCGATCCAAAAAATAGGCTGCTGGAAGAAGGCTTTCGAGATCGCAGTTCTCCGTGAGTTGTTTCGTTTAGTGCTTTTCTTGTGTCTAACTATTATATATTTTTGCTTTCCAGGTTCGCCAAAGCTTTTGTATCTCTTCACAAGGGCCCAGTGCTTGACTTGCAAGGCAACGTTTTGGTCATCGGAGCTTTGCTTGCAAACATTTGCCAACCAGTGCAGCAAGAAAAACTTCCAGGAGCACAAGCTGAGGCCACTGTTGCTAGAACAGGTTTGATCCGCCCTCGTCTGCCTTTTCATGGTTTTTCCTAAACTTTGTACTGCGGCACAGGTTGTCAGCTTTGTTCTCATGGGATCAAGACAAGCTTACAACACCAAAAAGGACAGTGATTCAGACGAAGACCAGTATCTTCCTTACGCGAAGTTGTGGGAGTATGCAAAGTGGTTGAGATAGCCGTTTTTTATTTTTGTTAGTAATCAAGTTCACCATTGTGACCGGTGGCAAACAAGGCGCCCTTCTTCATATCATCAAGACGAGGAAATCATCTTTAGATTGAATGGAGAGGTGGAATCACTGGGCCGACCTCTCAAGAAACTTGTCGATCTAATGGGTCCCTAGTGTGTGTGATTTTTTGAAGTTGAAAACATTATTAATAATCAAATGAATTAACAACAATTTAGTTTTGAGATGTGGAGGTGGTGAAGTCGATGATCTCAATAAACTCTCCAGTGCAGTTGTAATGCTGGAGCGTCTTTGGTTTATGCGGTTGTCCACGATCTGCCCCACCAAGTTACTTCCCTGTGGAACAAGCGCAAAAGAGTACGAGTTGTTCTGTTCACTGAATTGCAAAAACTTGTTGGTGGCTAGAGGAGACATCTAAGGCAAGACAACGTTGCCCTTCCCAGGTCCTGCAAAGACAAATCCATCACAATCAGAGAGTCCAATCCACCCAAAAACTCTTTTACAAAATCAAATGTGGTCAAGCTTGCTTACCAAAGCTGCCTGCTGGAATGTTTGCAACCCAGTAGGTGATATAGGACTCAAAGAATTGGAATCCAATCATGTCCAACCAGGTGAACATCACCACTGAAAAGTATGAAGGATGTGTGATGTTGATGCCGCGGCGGTCGTCATATCCTTGGATGTCAATAGTGGGAGCCCTGTCAGTGATGTGCAAGGGGAGGAAGCTGTTCTCCTCGACTGTGGTGGAACCATACTTTTATGAGAAGATTAGCATTAGCTGACAACGAACACAAAGAGAGGAGAATCACAGCTGACAAGAACACTGCCATTTCTTAGAAGAATTGACGAATCAATGGATTGATGCTTTTATCTATGACATTTTCTCGGGCCAGTTGACTAAATTCATCCATCCCTTGATCCAAATGATCCCAGATTTCTATAAAAATCTGGGTGTCAAGATTACCATGGTCAATTCAAGGTATACTAAATTCTACACCCCATGCGAGAATAAGTTGCTAAACCATGTAGCTCTACTTGAAAAAAATAAATTAAATTGAGCAGATTTCAATCTTCGGATAAGAGTTACATGCTGTCTACTAACGAAATATCTACATCCCCGATGAATAAAAATATGAATTTTCTTTAGCAGCCACAAAGTATGGTTGGATCGCAGCAGCAGCAGCATTGATCAAGCAGGCAGCAGCAACAAAGCGCAGCCAAGCTGTAAGGAAAAACTCACCATGAGAAAACTCAGCAAAAATTACAAGCTATTAAGATAGAAACTACCACTCACCAGCCTCTGAGAAACCCCCCTGACCGCTTCTTTTGCTTGTAGTTTTGTGGCGGTGGATAGTAACCTGTGGAGAATAGAACTTAATTCAATCTAGAAGAACTAGAAGAGACCAAAGAGAGATTGATCCTTGGGGAGAGCTTACCTTGCTGGGGATAGCCATAGACTGGCTGCTGATGGTGGTGTCCATGCCCCTTTTCCTCATGGTGGTGTTTCGCCATTTTGAAGAACAAGGAAGAATCGCCCAAATTCGCAAGAGACCAGAAACTAGATCGAAAAATTCAGCTTCCAATCGAAGAGAAAACCCAAAAGAATGAAACGAATCGATCGAATTCGGAGGGGACGATCGTCGCCCTATATAGAGGGTAGGGAATGCCGCGTAAATTCAAGTAAAGTCGGTCGCCACGTGTCAACGCGTGTCAATATGCCACGTGTCATTACGCGGATTTAGGGCCTAGGGCTTGCTTCAAGGAAAGGGGAAACGAGGAGAGAGGGGATCTGTCACAGTGCAGGAAGGATTTTCAAGAAGCCTGTTGACATTTCTTTTGGTTCTTTTGTTAAAGTATTTACATAGATTGGTTGAAAAAAAATGTTAATGCAATGTGGATAGTCTTTATGATCAAATTTTGAATATTAAGCAATAGCTTAAGGATGCCATAAGCATAATGCAGAGTGTCAGAATGGCATCCATCAAGGAGAGGTAAAAAGACTTAACAAGTCTTAACAGAGAATAGTCCACACACGTTTGCTGTGGCATCCGAGGCTCGATCCATGCAGTTTTCTTTTTGGGAATGTTGATAAGGGTGTGGGCTATGGTACTCCTTTTGGCAGTTCGTCAGCATGTTTACAAGGTCCAGTGTTTTCCACGTATGATTTATCTTTTTGTAGATCGATCACACGAGGGATGCAAGAAATTCAAGAAATGCGCGTGAATCCAGGTAGATTAGGGTTCTATGATCCTAGGGTAGTTTTGGCGCTCTCCACTCGCAGATCGCCGACCTCACGACGCGATTCGGTGTCAAGTTCTTGTTCTCCAGCCGCAAGTTCGTCATCGGCGACGCATCGCTCTTCTGGAGCCAGCGAATGATCGCGTCATACTCGTACGTGTATCCGTCCGACGCGATCACAGGGTATTCCATCACCTCCTGGAAGACGAAGAAATATTTCAAGAGGATGGAGGAATTCCAGGATGATTACCTGGAGAATCGGGCACAGGAAGAGCGTTGGAGCCGCGGATTTCGGTCGCTCCTCGCTGCGAAACAGATGATTCATCGTCTCGAGCATCTGCAACACGTTTTCCAGCTCCGGCCTGTTCTTCCTCTGGCACTCGGCGCAGTTTAGACCAATGCAAGCCAGCTGCGTCGCGGCTGCCAGCGGCCACTCTCCAGCGCTAGTGTCGAGGATC